ATTTATTTTTGTGGTTAATTTTCAAAATGAACAACGTCCATAATAACGCATATATTGAATGCACATTTTTTTAACACCATTGTTTTAGTTTAATTAACGACATGTTGAGTACGAGCAGTGGTGATCCATATAAATGATTAAAAATAATTCAAATTGGATATAATTTGACATAATGAGTATAGCAGTACACACATACACTCTCTCCTGTTCAATTTAATAAATATATTTCTTTTAAAAGAGAATAGGCGTATTTTAATTTAAAAATTAGAATATTAAATTCTGAGCATTTCTACAGTTTTATGTACAGCTTTATGAATTAATTATTTATAGAATTGTAGTTAAAACCAGTTTCTCTCTCTAGCTAATTAAAATATCAATAAATATTAATAATAAACGTTTTTCACATAATCTTTATATCAGACTAAGTTGGACTAAAGTACAAGGATACCAAAATTATCTCCTTTCGTTAATCTCAAATAAACTTTAAGTTAAATCTCATTTTAAGTTAAAATCTCATTTCAGTCATAACATTTTACGTTAAAACTCTGTTATGCAAAGTTGTATAAAAGTACTATCCAATTACGATTTTGTTAAAGAAACATCGTTTTTAAAAAGTCATCAGAAAAATTTTCTGTCAAAATTTTATATAAATTCCACAAGGTATCATGTATTCTTAGTCAGGCGTATTTCTCGTTCCCGCTTCATTAGAAATAGCACCGATACTTCTAGTGACAATAATCGTTGTCCTAGTTTGCATAACGCGTGGTTAAAGCGCAATAAGGTTGCCAAGTAAAATGCATAACTGCTACACGTCTGAAGACGTTAAAGGAAGGAAAGTAATAGCCGTACAAACACGATTATGCAAAATCTTTCCTATAAATACGGACGGAATATGTCATCCAGTAATTTCGTGTCGGTCGATAAAATGCGGTGGAAGAGGCTTGCAAATTATGTAAGGTCGCGACGTACTTGAATCCAGGTGTAACATCTGCCGCCAAGGTTTTCACTCTACATACGCTTTTGTGTACAAATAATTGCTACGCGAATATTGCGATGCAATTGCTACGCCTTTGACTATATGCATTTCTTGAGACATAAAATTTGCATTTTATTTACTTCTTAATAATTTAGTAATTTAACATATCGAAATTACATTATTTCTTAAAATAAAGCTTCCGATTAAACTATTCTTATTACAACAGAATGTTTTGATAATTTTAATTAAAATGATGAATTGTGAAATGTAAATAAAAATATATTTTGTATATTTCAAAAGAAACATTATATATATATTATATATATAAAATAGAATTTACAACAATTTATATACAAACATATATATAAAATACCTTTAAGTTCCTTCCTTCTAATGAAAATAATATAATCCAAAATCTTCTGAAACCACAGTATAACTAGTTCTGAGACCATTGTCTATTAATATTTTTATTTTAATATATAAAATCAATGTAATTAGTAAAAAATACTGATATCTGACATAACTTGATGCAGCTTGTATCTGAAAGAAGGAGAGAAGTGAAGAAAGATCGCGAAGAAGAAAAGACCTAATAACAGAGACTGCTATTTTAAGACCTCGCGACCGGTTTGCGAGTCATAAAGAGTCTACATCCCTGTTCCGCGAGTAATCCATCTTGACGACCCAAAATTTTTCAGAACACGATACATTTGAGTTTCATTCGTACAAGAAATTGCGCGAAGAGAAATACGTTGAATAATTGCGTCGAGATTAATGTTCGTTTATTTCCAGCCACAATAGTACATGTACACATAAATATCTTGAGAAATACTTAATCCTTCATACAACGTATACATATACAAATAAAGTATTTGAAATATTTTTAATAACTTTTTAGCTCATTTTTGACTCAATTGTACTGTCCAACAAAATTTTACTTTTTTCCTTTTTTCTTGTGTATAAAATCATTTCCGATATATTCTTACCTGTTGAATCCAATACTCAAATATCAGGACAAAATTTTAAGAAAAATGAAAGACAAAAACGATGATTTTTAAAAGTTTTCATAATTTTTTCAAAATAGCTAAATTTGGATAACAGATTCAGCATACAAAAATACATTAGAAATGATTATTCATATACAAAAAAAAGACTGGATAATGTTAGATTAATATATTTAATAGAATAATTCTGGAAGATAAAAAAAATGTGTATTTATTAGATTATTAGAAATAAGAATAATTTTTTTATGTATAAAGTGTGATAATTATTACTTATCGTTAATTCCATAAAATGTTATAAATTGTAAATTGTTACGAATTCTCTTATTACAAAACACTTTAATAGTAATGAAGAGACCAACTATACCTTCCAGAGTTCAAACCCTTGTAATGTTTAACAACGATAACGTTGACAGCAAGATTCTTAATGAATCGCACGAGATGACATATAATAAAAGTTATCAGTAACATTACCGTTGATTAAATAATGCAAACATTGGTATCAGACGATGTTAATGCATAGACTCATAATGTTGATAGTCTAAAGTATGTATAAGATGATAAAAGATTCAAACCTGAGTAATGTTTCCGGTTCTGACTTAAAAATTTTTATTTAAAAATGCTAAAACCTAAAAGCAGAGTATTTAGTCTTTTCGGAAATTATATAATTTCCGAAAAGAGCATAATGTTCCGTTTTTAAGTTTTAGCTTTTTCAACCAAGAGTTTAAGAACACTTTGTGCAGCACGAGTTTAAAGATTCGCAATGAGCAAAAATTTTAAAAATTCATACTATAAATACACGACTTTATGTATAACATATTTATAAACAATAAATTTGTTCTTTTTTTTTTAATTAATCACGTCATTATATTATAATTAAAAAAGAATACATGATTTCTTAGCAGCTAAATAGCAATTAAATTTGTTTTTAAAAGCAGAAAGATAATCGCATAAAATTTAAATTGTAAGAAAAATTAATTCAGATTAATAGTCTCTTTAAAAATAGTGGATGATTCTTCTTTACCATTACTTCTTTACACTTGAAAGGAACTCTGCAATTAGCTCAACGAATAAAACGATTATCTTTTCTGATAATATTTTTCGAGATTTGCGATAACTCAGGAAATCAATCACGTGAATTACATAACGCAATTAAGATTGAAACTTTCTACATTACTCACTAAGCACGTTCATCGGAATGATCGTCCGGTTCCGCCAGCTTGGATAGATTTTATGGCGAATTGTGAAGGGGACAAGCCAATGCTGATTTTTCGTGATGACTTCCGCGAATAAGTCTTTCGTAGAGAAATCGCGAGATTGCAATGCAACGAGAGACTTTCATAAAATGTTCCCGAAGACATTGTTCGGGGAAATATTAAAGTATCGAAAATTCCATTTCCTTCAAAATAAAAATGTCACATTACTTCCAGCTGGAATACTGTGAAAACAAGATGACGCCAGAATTTAATCTTAAACTAAATCGAACTCTCGATAATCTTATTTATTTTTGTTCCGCATTTAATTTCCCTGTTATGTTTGCTACTCGAAATATATGCTGTTTTCACCAATATTTTTCATTCTAAAACATAGAGTAAACAAGTTCTTTGTCCAATCTCTTCTGTTAAAAAGACTGTGTATTATGGAAAAACACACAAACCACAGTTAAATATTTTTAAATATCAAATAAAGTGACACACTTAAATATCAAATAAAGTTTGAATAAAAGGCAATGTTTAACTGTTTGAGCTAAAAAACTTTATAGCTCTTTGTTTGTTAATATTATTTTTATTGATGTTTTCAGAATCTCGTTTATATATATGCGTCATATCAAGGAATTATCGTTATTTTTGCAAAATACTGTGTGATCATTATAAAGAATCGTTATCTAAAACAATAATACTTCTCGTCTGGTAAACGACAAAAGATTTGCGAACCCAGATTATAATTTCAATGCCATTGACATCCCAAAATATTTATCTAAACAGCACGTGTTTAGTCGAGACTTTTCACTCAAATCGAATTCACGTGTCGGGTGCTTATATAACACAATAACAGATTGATAACGATATGATCTAAGACGAACAGTATGTCATCACAAACTATTTATATTCATGTAATGATAATTTAAAATCATTCATTGCAATATATTATTATTATTATAACTACATATTTTATGGCGTCTAAAATCCATTTGGCGATACAAATTAATTATGATGTCATAAAAGTTTAACATTACGCGACATGACAGGTGAAATGGTCAATTGAAGGCATCGAAACGTTGGAAGGTGTAATTTTTATCGAATTATTGGACATTATCGAGAATTAATAAAATATTCAGATTGCACCTCTCTCTCTTTCTCATTATCTTAATCGTATTTTTTGTCCATATATTGGAGGCCAGCCAGAAACATGAATACATATATCATTACGAAAGTTACTGTAAATTGGGTATTAAATATTTGAAATTATTGCATGCACCGGTCATTATGGCGTTAAAGTATCGTTCACTTATATCTCATCGCGCAAATTTTCTCAAGCAGTGCGAGACATGTTTTTACGACTCCGCGACGATCGTTTAATGATTATTAACTGCAATTGATGTACGAATAAGTCATTCAAAACGATTATCAGTGAAATTTATTTGCCAAATAATTAAGAGACATAAATATGAAACGAATTATGGCGAAATTTATGTCTCCAATCGCGTCGCAAATTCTTTCTCTCTCTCATTTGATGTATGATGTTGCTGAGAGCATGATGCGTTGTAATGAAAATATTATCATATATTTATGATTCGGCTGAATTCATACGTAAACTCATTCAGTTACAGTTGTACATTTTGATAAGATTTCTCTGAAAATTTATGTGCCTCACTTTCGCTTGTCTCAATTAGCCTTTCAAAAATTATATTCTCGGAATATTCGCTTAGAAATTGAGCTACAATGAGTACGTGATCATTCGCAAAACAACGGGTACTCACGTTCGCGCGCAGCAATCGGATTATCAAACAATCGCGATATAAGTACCTGGACTCCGGTATGAAAATATTCCACCAGGATGGCCTCTTCTGTCGCGGATAATTTGGCGAAAATAGTCCCTCTGTGCTGCCGATCTCCGAGGGTACACCAGAGGGAACAGCAGACACCACGCCCTTCCTCCTTTTCCGATCCAGCTTGGGCGGCTTCACGAGTGGATGCCAGGATTTCCGGCGTGCCTTTTTGGCCTCCTGAGCCAAGCGGTCACGATCCTCGTTCTCCAACACTTCCTGATTCTCCTCCAGCAGATCCTCAGACACGTAGAACACCGAGCCTCTCCTGCCGCTTTCGCTGCCCCTCCTTTTATCCTTCGCCTTCTCCTTCGCACTGCTATCCTTGACGTCGATCTTGACGGTGTCCTTAACAGCGTCCTTGGCGCTGTTCTCCTTCTCCTCAAACATGCTGACCCTACGAGCCCTTTGGATCAGGCTGTCTCGCCGAGCCTTCAGATCCTCCAGAACGCTGTGCCGACGAGTCTTCGTGTCCCGCAGGATCGCTGCATTCTCGCGATGCCTCCCGACGGCGCCGAGGATCCTCGCCAGCGACGATTCTTGCTCCATCATCGCCGGGATGGAGTTGGTCGAGGCGTATTTGGTGGTCGTGTGACCGTTCTGCGGTTCGCTGATGTACATCTTGGCTGTTTCCATACTAACTGGAATGGCCACGTCCATACGACGAGTGGTTTATAGTCGCGTAATGCGCATCACAGAAAGTGCGTCGGAAATGTCCAAGTTGGTATCTTGTATCGAGGTCACCGAGGGTCAGCTCGCGTCTAGATTAAGTATTTACCGACTGTGTACCGAGAAGACCGTTGTGAAAGACCGTTGGCTCTCTGTTGATACCCGCTAACGTCGGGTTAACGCCTTACAGCAGCAAGGCCGTTGAAGATCGAACGAGGATAAAATAATCACGTCGGATGGATCGCTCTCTTCTGCGAAGTCGTTAATATCTCACGCCGGAGACATCCTTGAGGGTCAGATGAAGCGTATAAAATATATCCGCTAATCCTACGAGACGACTACCGAATAGTCTGGCGTTGATCGAATAATTTATAATAATGGCAGAGAGAGATCAACACACAAATGATTAGGTCAAAATTGAAAGAACTCGATCATTTAAATATCGAAGGAGTATAATTTTGAACTAGTCTTTCACTAATGCACAGAGCATGGATCGTTTCGTCTTTATTTTGT